GGATAAATGATGAGGTGGAGGAGAGAGAACTTATAAGAGAAGGTTTGTCTTCTCTTATTTAAGATAAGACAAGATATGATCTCTTAGCATAATATGTCTCATCATATTTTTAGGAATTGTTAGTTATTGAAGATAAGGCTAAGTGATGACCCATTGTAGACATTTTTCTTTGTCATCTTTAAATTACATGCAAAACTTAAGATAAGACTATCTTATCAACCATTGTACATGACCTTATGAGATGGAGAAGAGAGAACTCACAAGAAAAGGCTTGTCTTCTTTTATTTAAGAGAATATAAGAGATAATCTCTTAGCACAATATGTCTCACCATGTTTTTAGGAATTGCTAGTTATTGAATATAAGCTAAGAGATGACCTATTATAGACTCTTTTTTTATCATCTCTAAATTACATGCAAAACTTATGATAAGACTATCTTATCAACCATTGTACATGCCTTAGAGATGACAAGAAAAAATGCTCAAAAAAAAGAGAGATGACAAGAAAAAAAAACACTGTAAGCAATCCAAACTTGTCGCGATACACTATGGATAGGACGGCCTACGTTGTAGCGGTGCAAAGACCCGGCCCCGTGCCCAGAAATCGAAGATAAGAAGGTGTCATGGGATGTTGGGAGAGGCCAAACCATGTGAACCTAACGAAATTTCGCTCACTTATACAGGGGGTCACGGTTAGGGAGCAAGAATGGACGTATTCAAACTGCTTCTGATTGAAAGAATATCACTGGTGCAACGCGCCTCCATTGCCGGCATTCGTGCTAGCAGGGGCATCTCCAACATCAACCCATAAACCGTCTATTCATTTGGAGGACGGTTCAAATGTATTTTCTTCGTAAACTAGAGACAAATGTGGAGGCTTTGTGGGACTCCAGATCGCTGTCATATCCATTTCTGATCGCTCTGGCCCACACATACCCCCTCATCCCTCCCGCGCGCGCGTTCTCGCCTGGCAACAGCTGCCCGCATTTATGTTGTTGTAGAGCGCGCCGCTGCACATTGAAGACGGCTCAGGGCTGACACAACCTCTCACTGTCTCCGCCATTAAAGTGGCGCGTCGGCCTAGGGTGCCGCCCGCTGCACGCCCGGCTGAACACGCATCCTCACCGCATTCAAACACTTACTTTAAACCTGCATGAAAGTCGAGAAACCTACTCTGGTCACACCTCTGTTCACAAGCGGGCCGACATTAAATACAACACCGGCCAAGCTTCTCCCATAAGCTCGCTATTTAAAGGAGGTCAGACACCGGGCAAGAATCGCAGCACTCCGCCATCTCCACCTTTTCGATGGCATTAGACGAGCAGGAAGAGCACTTCTCTGGCATAAAGGCCAGCTGGGTGGCCCGCCGAGCCCGCCGAATACGAGCGAGGCAGCTCGCTGCTCGACCTCCTCGCCAAGCCCGACGAAGCAAATTGCCGCCCCAATCTGCTGCGTGCTTCACCAACTCGTGGAGGAGCGGCGAGTTGCGCCAGGCCGGCAGGGGGAGCACGCCGGTAAGGGCATTATCGTTGTCGTGGACGACGCTACGTCGTCTCGCGCCTCCTGTACATGTGACCGTGCCATCCGCCGCCAACGCACGCATAGCCGCGCCCCGCTGGCAGAGAAAGAAGCCGGCTATGCGGTCCGCGTCCTCCGGCGCCATCGAGGGAATGTAGAACACGGGAGGCCACTGCCGTTTGAGTCCCAGGAAGGCCACCGTCGACGCGTTGCTGACTTGTACAACCGGCGACCTGTCCGGTTCATCTTGGGCACGCGTCTGGGCTCCATGAAAGCACCCTTCCCCTCCGGGTGAAGCACCCTCTTTGCCACTCTGATGAGCGACGCAAAGGGACATAGGAAAGATATGGAGGAAGAATATGCCTCCAGGACTCCTGACAGTCCAGTTAGCGAGCTGTCGGACATTTGGAAGACAGAGGGAACCGTCGCGGCCGGCCGCAGACTAGTGTAGTGTATCCGTGTCGTGGGAGTGAAGCTCCATGCGACCATACGTGCATATAGTTTTACCTTTTTACTTAAAATATGTCCAGAATGTTACCGTTTTCATCTGGTTTGTATGAAATCCATCATTTTTATATGAAATTTGCCGTGTTTGCATGAATTATATCCGATTTGTTGAAAAAGAGTTTAAAATATATGCAGCTAGTATTAGATGGTGGTCTTTCGCATCCGTATCCGTGGACTGATCCCCTTGTTTGCAAACAGATACGGGAAAAAACTTACAGGTGGCCGCTGAAGATGGCCTAAAAAGGCTAAGGGCATCTCCAGCCGTTGGCCTGGGGGCGCGCCGGCGCAAAACCGCGCACTGGGGGCGTGATGCCCCCCAGTCGCGGCGCCCACGTGTTTTTAAAAAATTCAAATACGGCGCAAACAAGACTGAAATTTAACGCAAACATCGGCGAGTTCGTTCAAACTTAAACATATTTTACAAAAAAAGAAAAAAAACTTGCGCGGGCTACCCCCGCCGTCTCCCTCGCCGCCCGCCCACGCGGTTTACATGCCGAGGAGGCTGTAGAACCGCGTGTAGTCATCGTCGTCGTCGTCGCCGCCCCCGCCTGCGCCTCCGCCGTCCCTGCTACATCCCTCCCCTGGTTGGCGCGGCGGGTTGGACGGTCTGGTGGCGTCGTCGTCGTCGTCGCTGTCGAGGACCACGACACCGTGCTCGTCCTCGCGCCCATGCTTGCGGGCGACGATCTCCTCCAGGGCCCGGCGCTGCCGGACCATCTCGTCGCGGAGGTAGTCGCCCCGCGCCCACCGCAGGGCGTCCTCGTCGGAGATGCCGTGCTGGGCTATCTCCTCG